TAGAGTGCCAGGTAGATTCCTGAGGCTTCCGGCTCTGGGCCCTGGCTGTGGGACGGCATCTCCAGACCCACCTGGGGCCGGGGAAGAACCTGCCACCCTGAAGGGAAGGACACAATCTTGGCTGGATTTGCCACCTTCTGATTGTAGAGTGCTTGGGCCTTGAGTGAACATGGGTGGCTGCCAGGCAGTGGTCACTGTTGGCCTTGGGTAAGACCAGCTTTGGGATGGCAAGGTGGGTGGATCATGAGGTCAGGAGATCGAGATTATCCTGGTCAACATGGTGAAATCTCGTCTCTACTAAAATATAAAAAATTAGTCAGGTGTGGTGGCGTGTGCCTGTAGTCCCAGCTACTTAGCCAGGCGTGGTGGCGTGTGCCTGTAGTCCCAGCTACTTGGGAGCTGAGGCAGAGGAATTACTTGAACCTGGAGGTGGAAGTTGCAGTGAGTGGAGATCACACCACTGCACTCCAGCCTGGAGATGGAACAAGACTCCGTCACAAAAAAAAAAAAAAAAAGAGGCAGGCATTTGATTCTAAGGGAAATGTTAAATAGGTAGGCTAAGGAGAAAGTTCCAGATGACACCGTGTTGATTATGGAGTTTCAGCTCTCTCTTCATGAAGCTCCCCTTCTCCATACACACCCTGCAGTTTTCCCGAGGCTCCAAGAGGCCAGCTATGGCCTCAGTGAGGACGAAACTGCTTCAACTTCTTTTGTTACATGAGTGAAAATGGCCCCAAAGTCCCATTTCCCAGAGCTCTTTCTCTGCCACTTGTAGAGAATCGCATGCAGACCTTTCTCCTGAGCCTATGTCCTTTTGGTCAGCTGATGGCCTGTGGGATTGATAATCCAACAAGTTTAGGACATGCGTGACCCTCTTGCCGCCCCAGCATGGAATGCTCAGTGACTGAGTTTTTCGATCCTGTTCTACTTCTGTGGAAACCAGAGCAGCTTGGCCCATTGATACTCTGCAGGTGACTTTGATCTTGAATTCTGTTAATTGAATGTGAGGTGATTACGGATCTTTGTCAGTCAAAGCTCCTCACTTCTTCCTTATAACCCATCATCCCTTTTGTTCCCTGGCATTCTGGATTCATCCACTGCACACATGAACTAACTGACAGATGTCAGGGTCGCGCTTTACTTTTTTTTTTGAGATGGAGTCTCACTCTGTCACCCAGGCCGGAGTGCAGTGATGTAATCTCAGCTCACTACAACCTCCACCCCCCAGGTTCAAATGATTCTCCTGCCTTAGTCTCCCAAGTGGCTGGGATTACAGGTGCCTGCCACCATGCCTAGGTAATTTTTGTATTTTTAGTAGAGACAGGGTTTGGCCATGTTGCCCAGGCTGGTCTCAAACTCCTGACCTCAGGTGATCCACCTGCCTTGGCCTCCCAAAGTGCTGGGATTACAAGGGTCAGCCACCACATCTGGTTGGTACTGCTGCCGCCCTTACAGATTGTTCTAATATGTCACTACTGAACACTTGCCACTATGGCTTGCATAGGCAGCTGAGATCACTCGGTCACCTCATCATCTGTGATCAGCCACATCTGCTGTTGCATTTTACTAGGAAAAGAGTGGCTACTTACCCTTTAATAATTTATTAAGAAGATCGGCCAGGTGCGGTGGCTCACTCCTGTAATCCCAGCACTTTGGGAAGCCAGGGCAGGCGGGAAAATTCCTTTGGCATTGATAGACCAACAAATCCAACAGGCTTGGGATCCTGAAATGTGTGATTCCCCACATGGCCACAGGGTGGAGATATGTGGCTATTAAATCTATGTTTTGGTTCCCAGGCAGAGACAGCTCTACAAACCAGGGCTGGGGTTTGACCCAACAGTAAACTTTAAAAACGAAGAAACAAAATCGTGAGGTCATTTTCTAAACTGTGGCTAATTCAGCCTGAGTCATCTTTCTAAAGGACTTGGACGAATTAGAAAATGTCTTTCACCTCCTTAGCCCGACTGTGAACCTATGGATGATTAACCTAACATCATTTAATCCTGCAAACATCTATCATGTTGGCTTTCTGTGGCAGGAGAGGTGCTGTATTTTGAAGGCAAACCTGGGACTGTAAAAGACAAGGGCAACCTCGGGTGCGCTTCACCAGCCACTTTCAGAAAACACGGGGGTGGCAGCTCGGTGTATGCGGCTCGTTCAAACAGAGACAGCGTCAGCAACCTGTTCTCAGACGGTTCTGGGGAAAAATGCAGATAGCAACAGAGTCACAAAAAAAGTGGCAAATTTTTAAAAAAGGTAAATCTAGGAAAATGACATATGGGAGTTCTTTGTACCATTTTCACATTTTTTCCTTAGGCTTGAAATTTTTCAAGGTTTAAGGTTTTTTGTTTTTGTTTTTGTTTTTGTTTTTGAGATGGAGTCTTGCTCTGTCACTGAAGCGGGACTGCAGTGGTGAACGATCCCGGCTCACTGTAACCGCCGCCTCCTGGGCTCAAGCGATTCTCCTGCCAGGCTGGTCTCAAACTCTTGAACTCGAATGATCCACCCACCTTGGCCTCCCAAAGTGCTTAGGATTACAGGCATGAGCCACCGCACCCAGCCAAAGATTGCTATTTCAAAGCTGCCGTACACTTGGCAATAGCTATCAAAATCACAAGTGTGCAGACTTTGAATTTCTCCAACTTTACCCTTCAGCTGTCTATGAAAATGTGCAGAATGGCATATGTATGTCATGGCACAAACAATGGAATGTTACGGGATGTTCTGCAGCATTTATAGAAGGTAAAATAATCTCAAAGATGGTTGCGACATACTACTGTGCAGGAATGGTGGGAATGGGGAGGATAGGTATATACAGGAATGGGGAGGAGCATATACATATAGGCCATATATATGTGTATATATGTGCAAGATGATTAACCATCTCAAGTGAGAAACATAAGGAACTCTGGATACTTCGGGACAGAAATAATAAAGGGACTGACTTTTCACCGTATATTCTCCTGTAAATTTTGAGTTTGGGTAGGGCATGGGAGCTCATGCCTATAATCCTAGCATTTTGGGAGGCTGAAGGGGGTGAATTGCTTGAGCTCAGGAGTTCAAGAGCAGTCTGGGCAACATGACGAAACCCTGCTCTACAAAAAATTGAAAAATTAGCCAGGCATGGTGGCACACGCCTGGAGTTCCAACTACTCAGGAGGCTGAGGCAGGAGAATTGCTGGAGCCCGGGAGTTCGAGGCTGCAGTGAGCCATAATTGCACCATTGCACTCTAGCCTGGGCAACAGAACAAGACCCTGTCTCCGGTTTGACAAAGATGACCCTTCCCAGTGTCCTTGGTGGAATGCAGAGCTTCCTAGAAGGGAGTTGGGTAGTAAGTCTTCTGGAAGACTATGGAGAGCCAGCCCACTCCATCCTGCTGTGAGACCTCCTTGGAGAATGGGGGTGGTCCCAACTGAGACTCACTGGCAGGAAGTGATAGGAAGGACTCCCAAGGGGCTGCCACTTTCCAAGGGGCAGGTGGTTTATACCCGGGAATTTATTCGTTCACCAAGCCTTAGAGATTGACCGGGCAAGGGGCTGGGGTCAGTGTGTGGCTGTGGCTGTAACACGCTCCTGCCCCAGCCTCGCTGCCGCCACTCCACCCAGTTTTATTGTGGAGGTTGTGGTTGTTACAGTGGCTGCCATTGATAGCCTAGACATTTGCATTTTACAGAGGACTTAATTATTTTTTTTGAGACAGAGTCTTGCTCTGTCACCAGTACAGTGGTGCGATCTTGGCTCACTGCAACCTCCACCTTCCCCGGATTTAAGTGATTCTCCTGCCTCAGACTCCTGAGTAGCTGAGATTACAGGGGTGTGCCACCACACCCAGCTAATTGTTTTTGTTTTTAGTAGAGATGGGGTTTCACCATGTTGGCCAGGGTGGTCTTGATCTCTTGACCTCATGATCCGCCCACCTCCACTTCCGAAAGTGCTGGGATTACAGGTGTGAGCCACTGCACCTGGCCGAAGACTTACTTCTAACTGATAGAAATTCAGAGTGAATTAAAGAAAAAATATTAATTCAGAGAATTATAGAGAATTAAAGTTCAATCCTATTAAGGAAAAGGGGTCCTTTGAACAACCTCCTGAGTCTTAGAATCTGTCTGGTGCCACCCTCCTCTGTGTTTTAAACCAGAAGTCTAGAGGCAGAATTCTGTCTCTGGAAACAGGACCCCCGAGAAGGGTTACTGCAGGTCAAGACTGGAACGTGACTGGGCTCAATTTGAGTGGAGTCAACAACCGTTCTGAGTTCCCCTCCCATAATGTGGGTGGGGCACGTCTAAGCCCCACCCACATTATAGGCTCCGTGGCAGCCTCAACTTTCAGATCCAGGAGTCCATGTTGTACAACTCCCGGAGTTCGAGGCTGAGCCACATAGTGAGGCCCTGCCTCTAAAAAAGAAAAATTAAAAAAAAAAAAAAAACAAAAAAAAAACCCCATAAAGCTGTTGGCTGCTGCCACAGACTCAAGAGAGCCTGGACAACTCTTTAAATCAAATCTCCTGACAAGAAAACTGCTGTGTTTTCCATCATGGAAATGGCGGGGCATGGTGGCTCATGCTGTAATCCCAGCACTCAGGGAGGCCAAGGCAAAAGGATCGCTTGAGGCCAAGAGTTCAAGACCAGCCTGGCAACATAGCGAGACCCCATCTTTACAAAAAATAAAAAAGCCAGGCATGGCAGCACGTGTCTGTAGTCCCAGCTACTCAGGAGGCTGAGGCAGGAGGATCACTTGAGCCTGAGAGTTCCAGGCTGTAGTGAGATGTGATGGTACCACTGCACTCCAGTCTGGGGGACACAGCAAGGCCATGTCTCAAAAAAAACAAACAAGCAAACAAACAGACATCATGGTGAGAAGCAGCTGTGACCCCTCTTCTCCTACTCAGGGAGGAATTGTCTTAGGACGTCCCCAACCCGTACCCTCAAGCCTTCTCTGCACTCATCTGATATCAAAGCCGGGAGCTTTCTTCAGCAGAGAATTGCAGACACAGAGCAGGCATTGTTTAAATAACTTTTTACTTCTCCCTTAAGAAGATATTTGAAACTGTTTTTATATCTCATGTTAAAAATAAACCTAAGAGTCCCGAGAAACTTGCCACTGGTTCTGGAGCCACGAGCAATCCTCTCCCCATGGCCTCGGTTTCCTTGTCTATGAGATGGGGAGGGACTTGATCATTAGTGGACTCCGCCCGGGGTCCCCCCACCATGGTCCCATGTGAAAAGACTGCTGCTTTGGCTCTTCTTGCCAGTTCTCCCCAACTCCCAAGCAATTCCAGACGTTCCTATGGGGCTGTAATTGACAAAGCTCTTGGCAGGTGCCACCTATGTGAGCCACATCTTTTCCTGGAGCCACACGGGAAGGAGCTTTGTCCTCCACACACGAAGCCAGGATGAAGCTGGGACAAAGGGGAAAGAGGCAACAGGTACTGGTGGCTGGGAGCGCTTCCTACTGCTCCCCAGAACCCCCAGCTCTGCCGGCCCTCAGGGAAGCCAGCCAACCTGATGGCACCAGAGGGATGGCCTGGGGAACCCAGCTGCTTGTCTGTTGGTCACTGTCATTGAGGGCAGGCTGAGGAGGACGTGGGCCAGGGATAAGGGAGCCGTCCCTGGGCTTCCTGGGGCAGACAGTGAGGCAGGCCTATGTCTTCCTTATCACACTGTAATTTGAATCTGGTTCCTCCTCCCTGGGCCTCTGAGCAGCTATCCTGTTGGCCTCAGAATTCTGAGTCCGGGAGTCAAACACCACTGAAGCATAGTGAAGTTCTTCCCTGGGGGCAGCCTGCAAAGAGAAACCAGAGGCTCAGGAGAGGCAGGGGAAGGAAGGACCCCCAGCACAGGACGGAGGAGGGAGGACACCGGAGGGGCCTTAGGGGCCTTGGGGAGGCCTCACTGTAGAGGCTGCACTCTCCCAGCCTCTTTCCCTCCTGAGGACTGGGCTCCACGATCCTGTCCACCCAGCTGTTCCTCCCCACCCAGGCAAGCCACAGCACAATGTCCCTGGCATCAGAGGCAGGAGGCTCCCTGGGCTCCTCAGGGCTGACCCAGCCTGGTCCATTCTCAGGGAAGAAACTGAGGCCCTGAGAGTTGACTGGGCTCCCCCGAGACACCTCTGTGCTTCTCTTGATGAAATGTTCTCTCATTGGGGGTGGTGGCTAATGCCTGTAATCCCAGCACTTTGGGAGGCTGAGGAGGTCGGATCACTTGAGGTCAGGAGTTTGAGACCAGCCTGACCAGCATGGTGAAACCCTGTCTCTACTGAAAATACCAAAATTAGCTGGGTGTGGTGGCAGGCACCTGTAATCCCAGTTATTCAGGAGGCTGAGGCAGGAGAATAGCTTGAACCAGGGAGGCAGAGGTTGCAGTGGGCTGAGATTACATCACTGCACTCCAGCCTGGGTGACGGAGTGAGACTCCATCACAAAAAAAAAAAAAGAAAAGAAAAGTTCTCACAATGAAGCAGCCACAGGTCCATTTCTGAGGTCCCTTTCTGCAGAGGATCCCTAGCTCTCAAGGAAGAGTTGAGGCTGGTATAGGGGCACCCCGTTGGCCCTGCAGCTCTAATTAACTAATTGTGCTGTGGGCATGATTCCCAACTTGTACCAAGGGGGCCGGGAGAAGAGTAAGGCCATGCCCCATCCACTTTAGAGCATGAGATACCCAGTTAGAAAAACAAGGCTGTTGCTGGTCCCAGGCCACGAAGCTATGTGGACACAATATCAGGTTATACAAGAAAGGGATCAGGCTTGACCATTGCAGGGGTTCTCAGAAACTTGGCCAGGAACTGGCTGGACGAGATGGCTTATGCCTGTAATCCCAGCACTTTGGGAAGCCAGGGCAGGCAGATCACTTGAGGTCAGGAGTTCAAGACAAGCCTGGCTAACATGGTAAAACCCTGTCTCTACTAAAAATACAAAAATTAGCCAGTGCAGTGGCATGTGCCTGTAGTCCCAGCTACTTGGGAGGCTGAGGCAGGAGAATCGCTTGAACCCGGGAGGCGGAGATTGCAGTGAGCCAAGACTTTGCCACTGCACTCCAGCCTTGGCAACAGAGTGAGATGCAAAAAAGAAAAAAAGAAAAGAAACTTGGCCAGGAGCCATCCAGGACCCTGGGCCCCCAGACCACTTTCATCCTCATCCAGACAGCTGGCTGGAGGTCGGGGAGGGGTGTGGCTATCAGGGGACCCGGAAGTGACAGGACTGCATCCCTCTTCCTCTGTCCGATGCAAGAACAGCGGCCTGGGGAGAATGGTACCAGCTGGAGACATCCCAGGGAGTTGGGCCACTTTTCCAGGCAGACCAGCAACAGTATCCCCTGTCTCCCTGGCACCAGCCCTCCACGGCACCACACAACCTGTCTTAGGGGCTCCTTTGGCTCCCAGGCCTGGGGCATCCTTTAAGCATCTCTGTCTGATGCTTACCCATCCTGTCTGCCAAGTGACCCCCAGCCTCTGCTTGAACTCTCCCACTAGCAGGGGGGTCACCACCCAGGGAGGTAGCCCCATCCCTTTATCCCAGTTGAAGGTGGCTGTGCCCTAGGGTTGACCCACAGCGGGTCACAGACAAAAACTTGGAAAGCAGAATTAATGCCAAAGAGATGATGAGTCCAAAACAGTGGGAAATCGCAGGTTCTCACCTTGGCATGATATACAGCAGGTGCTCCTGGACTGTCAGGGCCACAGCTGGTGGCCATCCCCCGACCCCCAGCCACAGTGACACCAAGCCCTTCTAAGGACTTCTGCTCTGGCAAAATCTACACTTGCCCCATCTCCGTGTGGCCCTGTCCCTGAGAGGCACAAGATCACCAAGCTGACCCCTTCCTTCCCCTTCTGCCTACCCGCCTAGGGGTGCCCTGGAACAGCCCAGGGGCTTCATGCCCCGCAGCTGGGCTCCCGCACTTACCACGGTGCTGTATTCCACTTCCACCTGCGTTGGTGGTGTTGGCTCTTCCTGCAGAGGCCACGTCAGCAGCTCCAGATTCGCGTAGTGCTGCTCACTCTCCTCGGCAGCCTAAGGTGGGGGGGCAGGAGGTGCCGGGTGATGAGTGTCCACGGAGCCCTGTAGCCTCTGTCCCCATTCCTCTATGCTCTGAGCGTCTCAGCCCCAACCTTCCCCTTACTGTCTCCACCCCACCCTGCCAAGTAGTTGAATGTTTCCCTGGTCCACTCGGCTGGGAGGGCCCCCACTTCATTCCATGTGTCCTGGTGGGGAGAGGATAGGCTGGCCAGGACTTGAAACAATACCCAGTGACCCAACAGCATTTGTCCTGCTCTGGGCGAGCTCCATGCTCCATCCATCCACCATCCATCCTCCATTGGCTGATGGGACGGTCCAACTCCCCAGCATCCTCTGTACCCTCTGCCCAGCCACCGGAGACACCTCCTGCTGAAGCCCCCCTTACCTGCCTGTGGTTCTGGGACAGCTCTGAATGTTCACCAGCTAGAGACAAGAGGAGAAGAAGGAGGCTGAATCCTGGAGCAAGGGCCAGATGGAGGGCCCTAGGAGCCTCTGGGTAAAGGCCTTTCCCTGGAGACCTCAACCCTGGGGACCTAGCCCTTTAGGCCCAAGGCATGCTGGGAGCTCAAGGGTTTGTTGAATGAGTGAATTAGTGACTTAGTAAATGGATGAATGAACACAGGATGAATGAATAAATGGACAAATAGATCCAGCTGGAGGAGAGGATCTATTTGTCCATGGTAAGCAAGCTCTCAACACAGGACCTCACACAAACGTTTCCATGAGAGGAAGGATACCACTGAAAAAGCCTGTGCATCTGGGACTGAGGGCTGCATTCGACTGTGGGAAGTTGCTGGGAGCCTCTGCTCCCATCCTGGTGCCTGAGGTCTGCCCTTCCAGGCAGCCCACCCTCCTGCTGCCCCAGGCTTTAGGGAAGGAGGCCTGTCAGCTCCAGGCATCCCAGCTCGGGCTCACACAGCCCTTGGCTCCTGGCACCTGCTCTGTAGGGGAGCTGCCTGTGCGAACAGCCCTGTACACCCTGACCCTTTCACCCTGGGAGCCCAGACCAGGTGGGCAGTGGGTGACACATGCCACCAATGCCCTTGGTTAGGCGCACCTCCAGGCAACCATAGAGCCCACTGCACTGGATGAAACTGGGAAAGACACTCTGTCCACCCCTCAGGGAGCTCCCAGAATGAAAGGGGAGGACCCCACAGTTGGGAGACACAGGACCATGGACAGTTACAGGCTTGCTGAGCCACAGCTGACCTGACAGAGCATGCAACTGGGTACTCTGGGGTGCACAGTGCTCTGCTTCCAAATGCAAGTGCCACGCCGCCCTCCCTGTCCCCACCTGGGACAGGTGTTCTGATGAGAAGGGGAAAAAGAGCTGGTGGGGAAGAGACAGGAGTTCAAAGCCAGGGAAGGAGGGTGGTAGTGAGAAGGTTCTGGGGAGCCGATCGCAAGAGAAGCTCACTGAAGGTGAGACTTGGTCTACCCCAGTCACAATGGTGTCCCCAGGGCCCAGCATAGGCCTGGCAAACGGGGCGGTAGGGGGACTTGCAAAGCAGGGGACAGAGAGTCAAAAATGTTTGAACAGAAAGCCTTTATCTTGTTACTGAGGAAGCCTTAAAGAAAGTTTAAGACACTGGTACACTCTGCAGCCTGTGATTTTTAGAGCGTTTAATAGCTGGAAACATGGTACAATATGTTAAGTGCAAAAATACAGGTTTAAAAGAGAATGAGTGGTATGAGGTCAATTTGTTAAGAAAGTGCAGATGCTTGACTGGGTGTGGTGGCTCACGTCTGTAATCCCAGCACTCTGGGCTTGAGCTCAGGAGTTCAAAAAAAAATTAAACAATTAGCCAGACATGGAGGTGAGCACGTGTATTCCCCATTACTTGTGAGGCTAAGGCAGGAGGATTGCTGGAGCCTGGGGGGTCAAGACCGGAACAAGCCAAGGTCACACCACTGCACTCCAGCCTGGTGACAGAGTAAGACTCTGTCTCAAAAAAAAAAAAAAAAAAAATAGAAAGAAAGAAATCATAGATGGGTATATATATATGCAGAGAGGAAAGGCTGGAAGGACATTCTTAGGTGCCAGTGGCTGGTTTTCTCTAGGTGGTGGGGCTTTAGTTATCATTGATGATGGGGAATTTATTTCCTGCTTTGTGCCTTTACTCATTTTTCAGATTTCCTACAATAATTATATATATCCTCTTTAAGCGGGAAGAAGGCTCTTTGAGGAGCGAGAGTCTTTCTGGGTGAAAGGGCAATGAGGAAACCGAAAGGGGTTCAGAGCTGAGACAAGCGCCTGTGTGGTCAGTGACATCCACGTGGGTGCTGAAGTTTAGAGTGGGTTTACCAGAAAATAACTCAAGCAAAGCAGGCGGGAAAGAGGAAGTGGTTGTCTTTCCATACAGCCTGCACAGATCAACTGAGGCGGATTTCTCCCCCGAAGGCCTGGGTCCACAGGAGGCACTGGGGATTGTGTGTGAGCAATGCCCCCACAAGCATGCACCAGCATATCCTGCAGCTATGAGATGGGATAACCCATCTTTTCCCACACCAGTCTCACTGCAGTCTTGGAAGTCTTTGGACAAAGATTCCCGTGAGAATCTTCTGCCCGTGGAATCTCAAACCCTCAGAACAGGGAGGAAGCTTCAGGCTTACACTTCACCTCAGCCAGGGATCTGCTCTCCTAGAGGACTAGTGGCCACACCTCCACGTGGGCCTCTGTTCCTGTGCTTATTCAATTTGCCTATCAGGTATTTATTGTGCACCTACTTACTGAGTGCCAAGCGTTCCTGTTCTCTCTTTTAATCTGAGTTCAGAGGATGGCAGCCGGACTAGAGGTTGCCTGGAGGCCCCTGGGGTGCCCGTTGTGGCTGGAGATATTGAATAACACATTAATATGATGATTATTGGTCTGTACCTCCTTGAAGCACATGCCTGTGGGAAGGCAGGCGAGGAGGCCAGCAATAACAATCTGGTTCCCCAAAGTCTGTGACAGCAGAGGTATAGCCAGGAGGGGCCCAAGCCACTCTTTGGAGTCAAAGAAGATGTCCCAGGGAACAGGAAGTCTGAGGACAACTGTTGGAGTTCACTGGGAGCGAGCTGGGGAGAGAGGGCAGGGGAGAGAAGGCCGGGGAGAGAGGGCTGGGGAGGGAGGGCAGGGGAGGGAGGGCAGGGGAGGGAGGGCAGGGGAGACCCTCCAGGTGCTCAGAGCAAACCCAGAAGGAGAGAAGGAGAGGCTGAGGGTGAGGCTCTCATTAAAGCACAAGGAGATCCAAGTTGGTTTCCAGAGTGCACGGACGGGGAGAGGGAGGTGGGTGGGCCAGATCGTGGAGGGCCATGACTGCCATAGGGACCCGGACTTTTTATGGTGGCGGAAGACCATGCAAGGGTTTATTTTATTTGATATACACAGGCTGGTCTTGAATTCCTGGGCTCAAGTGATCCTCCCATCTCAGCCTCCTCAGTAGCTGGAGCTATAGATGCACACCACTGTGCCCAGCTCACCATGCCAAAGTTTTTTCTCTAACTTTTTAAGTAGATAGATGAGGTCAATTTAATAAAATCAGACACTGGCCGGGCAAGGTGGCTCACGCCTGTAATCCCTGGCAGGTGAGCTTGCCTTCTCCAGCGTATCGTATTTTTTTTGAGAAGCAGGTCATGGCTTCATGGGGCAACCACCCTCGGCCCAGCAGTGGGAAAGCCTCTTGCTGGGGAGCCACCTCCCACAGCCTGTAACCACCACACTCAAGGGTGCCTCCTCTGGGGCCAGCCCTATGGGATCGCCCAGGATGTGTGGTCTGGGTGTGGCACTTGGTGGCAATACTGGGGGACAAGGACATAGCTTTGAAAATGAGCAGCTGTGGTCAGGGCCTGACCACCCCAGGTTGGGGAGGGGGTGTGGGGAGCCAACTCACCTTTGACCCATTTCTGAAACATCCTCCATACTAGCAGGGAGGCCCCCACCAACAGAATCAGCAACAACGCCAACAGGGAGAGGAGCAGCGGGAGCCTGGAGGAGGCACAGGATGGCGAGGGTGGGCGAGCTTGCCTTCCCCAAGTTATTTTTTTTGAGACAGGATCTGGCTCTGTTACCCAGGCTGGAGTGCAGTGGTGATCATGACCCCCCACAGCCTTGAACCCCTGGGCTCAAGTGATCCTCCTGCCTCAGCCTCCTGAGTAGCTGGGATACAGGCCACCACATCCAGCTAAGTTTTAACTTTTTTGTAGAGATGCAGTTTTGCTATATTGCTCAGACTGGTCTCAGACTCCTGGGCTCAAGCCGCCCTCCTGCCTCAACCTCCCAAAGTGCTGGGATGACAGGCACGAACCAACACACCTGGTCTCCTTCTCCAACTTTTTAAGGTCAATTTTCTAAGTAACTTTTAAGGCCAATTTTTAAAAAATTAGACAGTGGCTGGGCACGGTGGCTCACATCTGTAATCCCAGCACTTTGGGAGGCTGAGGCAGGTGGATCACAAGGTCAGGAGTTTGAGACCAGCCTGGCCAACACGGTGAAACCCCATCTCTACTAAAAATACAAAAAATTAGCCCGGCGTAGTGGCAGGTGCCAGCTACTTGGGAGGCTGAGGCAGGAGAATTGCTTGAACCCAGGAGGCGGAGGTTGCAGTGGGCCAAGACTGTGCCACTGCACTCCAGCCTGGGCAACAGAGCAAGACTCTGTCTCAAAAAAAAAACAAAAACAAAAAAAAACACACAAAAAAACAGACAGTATAAAGCCCCCTTTCTACATACCTCCCATTTACACATCCTCCAATTTCCCTACATATACACACATGCTGTTCTTAAGAACCTTCCAGAGTTTATGTGTATACAAGCAAATATGAATGTACGGGATTTCCCTTCATTTTTCACACAAAGGAGGCCTCATCTAACATATTCTGGTTTTACTTAACAATAGATCTTAGAGGTCTTTCCACATCAGTACATAAGGTAGTCCCTCACTCTTTCCTATAGCTGCAGGTTATTCCAACACACGGATAAGCCATGATTTATTGAAATGTTCCCTCTGAATGGGCATTTCCCCCACTCCTTGGCAATGATAAACATTGCTTATAAATTGCCTTGCAGCTCCACCTTTTCACACCTGACCATGCAGCCCCAAATTGACCAGGAGGCTGACGCAGCCCAGCTTCAGGCCCCTCCACTGCTTGGGCCCCTTCCTTCATGCCTACATTTGCATTCATAATTTTCTCATCTTTTTCTTAGATTGCTGCCTCCCCCAGCTGGGCTTGGTGGCTCACACCTGTAATCCCAGCACTTTGGGAGGCCGAGGCAGGTGGATCACCTGAGGTCAGGAGTTCCAGACCAGCCTGACCAACGTGGAGAAACCCTATCTCCATATTGTATTTTTGGCTAAAAATACAATATTAGCCAAGAGTGGTGGCGCATGCCTGTAATTCCAGCTACTTGGGAGGCTAAGGCAGGAGAATTGCTTGAACCTGGGAGGCGGAGGTTGCGATGAGCCGAGATCTCACCACTGCACTCCAGTCTGGGCAACAAGAGTGAAATTCCATCTCAAAAAAACAAAAGTGGTCTATGGCCATACCACCCTGAACACACCTGATCCCGTCTGACCTGACCTCGTGAAGCTAAGCAGGGTCAGGCCTGGTTAGTAATTGGATGGGAGACCACCTGGGAATGCTGGATGCTGTAGGCTTTTGGCTCTTCTGCTCCCTGCTTTTTTTTAATGAATAAAAATTTAAAAAATTTTTTTTAAAAATAATAAAAGTGATTGTCCTGCCCCCCACCCACAAATTGCACAAACTTCAGGCCCTACAGAACCCAGCTCTGCCATCTATGTGTATCTACAGGGTAAACTTCTGGAAGTGGCATGTTCAAGCCTGAATTTTGCCTTGTCCAATATTGAGATTGTGATTCTGGGTTGGCAGAAGCCTGTGGAGGGTTTTCTGGATATTATTTAGCAAAGAACCTGGCTAGCCTTTGTCCCTGGATCTTAGGAGGGAGGCTCTAAATCCTTGGAATTTGTCAAGAATTAGGAGTGTCTTTCTTGTTCATGAATCACACCTGGACTTTGCTAAGAGCTGAGCTAACAGGATGGGGCTGTTCACCACAAAGATCAAACATGTCATTAGAGATTTGGAGCCCTGAACCAGCCCAACTTCCCAAAGAGGAACTGGAGGTGGAGACAGTTCAATCACATCATACCTAAGTAATGAAACCCAATAAAAACCCTGGACACCAAAGCTTCGAGGAGCGTCCTGGCTGATAAACATATTGAGGTGGGGTGGTGGGGGGAGTGATGCAGGTGATGCTCCCTGATTCCACCTGGAGAGGGCACAGAAGCTCTGATTGGGATCCTCCCAAGCCTTGTCCTATGTGTCTCTTCATTGGCTGGTCCTAATCTTTTTTTTTTTTTTTTTTTTTTTTGAGACGGAGTTTTGCTGTTGTTACCCAGACTGGAGTGCAATGGCACGATCTCGGCTCACCGCAACCTCCGCCTCCTGGGTTCAAGCAATTCTCCTGCCTCTGCCCCCTGAGCAGCTGGGATTACAGGCACGCACCACCATGCCCAGCTAATTTTTGTATTTTTAGTAGACAGGGTTTCACCTTGTTGACCAGGATGGTCTCGATTTCTTGACCTCATGATCCACCCGCCTCAGTCTCCCAAAGTGCTGGGATTACAGGTGTGAGCCACCGCACCCGGCCAAGCTGATCCTAATCTTTATCCTTTACAATAAAACTAATTGTGAGGATAATGCTTTCCAGAGTTTTGAGTCTAACAAATTATGGAACCTGAGGGGGTCCTGAGGACCCCCAAATTGGCAGCCAGTTGGTCAGAAGTGTGGTGCTCTGAGGATCCCCAAAGTTTGGCTAGCATCTAAATCAATGTGGTCTTGTGGATGTTAAAGCTCTTCACCTGTGGGGTCTGCAGCAACTCCAGGTGACCAGCACCAGGATTGAATTGTGGGGTTTTGTGCTAGAATAGGGAGTCCATGAACCCCAGAAATTGTTTGTGACTGTATGTGTTTTTCTGGGGAGAGGATCTACGGATGTCAGATTCTATGTGGGGTTGGCAACCCCCGAAAAGGTTAAGAACCACTATTTAGAGAGGAGAACTTGAGGCTTTGGAGTCACTTAAACCAGAATTGGAAGCTTAGCCTTGCCTCTTGTAGCTACTTGACTGGGCAAATTGCTTAACTTCTCTGAGTCTCAGTTTACTCATCTGCAAAATGGGGATTGATGTGGGTTGGCTGTGCCCCCACCCAAATGTCATCTTGAATTGTAGCTCCCATAATTCCCACATGTTGTGGGAGGGACCCGGTGGGAGATAATAGAATCATGGGGTGGTTCCCTCCATACTGTTCTTGTGGTAGTGAATTAAGTCTCACGAGATCTGATGGCTCTATAAGAGGAAACCTCTTTTGCTTGGTTCTCATTGTCTCTCTTGCCTGCTGCCACATAAGATGTGCCTTTTGCCTTCTGCCATGATTGTGAGGCTGCCCCAGCCATGTGGAACTGTGAGTCCATTAAACCTCTTTCTCTTTTTTTATTTTTATTTTTTTGAGATGGAGTTTCACTTTTGTTGCCCAGGCTGGGGTGCAATGGCAGGATCTCGGCTCACCTCTGCCTCCCAGGTTCAAGCAATTATCCTGCCTCAGCCTCCTGAGTAGCTGAGATTACAGGCACAAACCACCACTCACGGCTAATTTTGTGTTTTTAGTATAGAGTGGGTTTCTCCATGTTGGTCAGGCTGGTCTCAAACTCCTGACCTCAGGGGATCCACCTGCCTCGGTCTCCCAAAGTGCTGGGATTACAGGCGTGAGCCACCGCGCCTGGCTCACCTCTTTCTCGTTATGACTTACCCAGTCTCGGGTATGTCTTTATCAACAGTGTGAAAATGAACTAATACAGGGGTGGCAACAGTACAGGGCTGCCTGCGGTGAAGGGCAAATGAGAATACTCACATGAAGCGTCTAACACAGACCTCATAGGATGTCACCAGCGCTCAGTAACTATCACTTTCCTTCCATCTGCCCCCCAGCTTCTCCCTTACCTGAGCCCCCTTCCAAAGCCAAGGACAGGTCCAAGTTGGAGTATACAGACTGGCTTCCAACCTGTGCCTGGGGCAGAAGGAGTGGTGTGCACCTCCGGCTGCCCCACACGGCCGAAGTCCCCGCCCTGGGCTCCTTCCCACAGGTCCCCTCCATGTCTCAGGGGTGAGGGTGCTTACTGTAAGTTCACGACCTCCTCATTGTCCCCCTGGATGCTGGTACTGTGGGTGGCACTCACTGTCAACAGGGTAGTGGATGGCACAGGGGGAAATGCAGTTGTGATTGTTGAGATCCTGGCTGCAGTGACACTAGTAGGTGTCACTGACGTTGATGCTGGCGACAAAACCACAAGTCAGACCCAGGGAGCTGTCCTCACACTCTCCCACCACTCAGGATGCTTTTTTGGTTTGATTTCATGCTAAATGCCCACTCAGGAAGGGGGCGGGATGCAGGACCTCCTGGGCCAACTGGGCATTTCTGAACAGGACCCAGGTTCCCCTCCCAATGGTCCTGATTTTCCATCCTGCTGGTGAGGGTCCAGGTGCTCCTGCGAGCCCCCATGCCGCAGAGGAGTCGGTCCACACTGCAAATCTGACCTGTCACATGGTAAGGCTCCCCCTGAAAGCAGCAGCTTCCCACCTGGCCCCCAGAGCCTCTCTGTTCAGCCCTACTCTTTCCCCACACAGGTGCACTTCCATGGTGCTGAGCCTCAGGTGCGCTCCTGGCCCCTTCGCAGTTAATGCTCTCTCAGCCTGTCTGTCACTGGACCCTTCCCTTCTGCAATACTGGGCAGAAACCCAGTATTCTTCAATACTGCTCCAGGAGAGACCCCCTGACTGTTCCCCTGGCCCCATCTCTTTCCCTCTCTTACACACACACACACACTGCTTCACCTCTCCGATCTCATTCCTGCCCAACCCGAGGCTTGTTTAGGCACCGAGGGAAGGAGGGGCTCACCTGGGAACACGGACACCTCAACCTTAATGAAGGGATCACGAAGGTCTTGGAGCAATGGTGTATCCACCCCACACCAGTATGTGCCTGCGTCGTCCTCTGTAAGATTCTCCAGGGTCACTGTGAAGCTGAGGTTTGCAGGATGGTCCTTGATGGACACTCGGCTGTTCCCCACTTTTTCTGCTGACCCTCTGGTCTCCACAATCTTGGTACATCGGATAGTCCACGGTGCTCTGCACCAGTATTTATTGAGAGTCCTGTGTTCCTCCTCATACCCACACTGCACGCTCAGCGATCCCCCCAGGGGACCTGCCACAGTGTGGGGGCCACTCAGAGCAAAACAGCCTGGAAAACACAAGCCCGAGTCCCGGCTCCTCCTCAGACGTGCCTGGCCATGGGAGCCCTGGGCCGCATGGGTGTGGAGGAGGCAGCGGCAGGCAGGCAGGCCTTGTCCACTCAGGAGTGGGGACTGTGGGTGAGAGGCTCCCTCCATGCACAGGTGGGAATGGGGCAGAGGCTTCCATAGAGACTGGAAGGACTGAGGCTGGGTGCCCTGGGGTTACCTCCTCCAAAGATTCCCCAACTCCCCCTCAGCACCCAGCCCTCAGTCCCTGACTCCTTCACCTCATATCAGCCCCATCAGCCAGATCATACCTTGAGCATCCTCTTTTCTCTCTGCGACCCCTGAGATTTTGCTCACAGCAGCCCCTTTCTCCAGCCCCCTGCCTCCTTCCCACCCCTCTCACCCACAGTGGCCTCCTACTTCCAAACCTGCCAGGACCATGAGAACTTATCCCTAATTACCTGCTTTTCTGGGAGGGCCACCCCAGCCCTGGGCACCCCAGTGAGAGGAAGACCAGCCCACATACCAATCTGGTCCCACCAGGGGGACAAACCTGGACAGCAATAGGGTTGTCAAGCCATTTTGACAAGAATACTGGCCAGGTACAGTGGCTCATGCCTGTAATCCCAGCACTTTGGGAGGCTAAGGCAGGTGGATCACTTGAGGAGAGGAGTTCGAGACCAGCCTGGCCAACATGGTGAAACCCGTCTCAACTAAGAATAAAAAAATTAGCCGGCATGCCAGCGCATGCCAGTAATTGTAGCTACTGGGAAGCTGAGGCGCGAGAATTGCTTCAACCCTGGAGGCTGAGGTTACATTGAGCTGCAATGGCACCACTGCACTCTAGCCTGAGTGACAGTGAGACACCATCTCAAAAAAAAGTCACAAATGCAGAAGGCTCACTGACAAAAACTTTCATTCGTCCTGTGTCTTACCTTATTTTGCCCAGCTCTTCTAGACTTAAATCTCGGAAATAAATGAGATTCCTTGAAAATTGGGTCTGCCATTTTCCCAAATAATTCTCAGATGAAAAGTAGGGAAAGTAAGGTGATGGCTGGAAGCTAGTGTCTGCCACCAAGCAGAGGACACATGGCCCCTCCCCCAGGGAGATGGGCAGTTCTGTGATCGGGCCCCATTTTGGCTCGGGATGGTGAAAGGCAGGCTTGCTCTCCTTTCCTCTGGTCAGAACTTTTATTTTATTTTTGAGATGGAGTCTCTCTCTGTCGCCCAGGCCAGAGTGCAGTGGCAGGATCTCAGCTCACTGCAACCTCCGCCTCCTGGGTTCAAGCGATTCTCCTGCCTCAGCCTCCCAAGTAACTAGGATTACAGGTGTTCACCATATCCATCTAATTTTTGTATTTTTAGTAGAGATGGGGTTTCACCACGTTGTCCAGGCTGGTTGTGAACTCCTGACCTCAGGTGATCTGCTTGCCTTGGCCTCCCAAAGTGCTGGGATTACAGGTGTGAGCTACTGCAACTGGCCAGAACTCTTTAATTTCACTTACTGTTTCAAATGGTTAAATCTCTTCACATGAGACTTTGGGAGCACTGAAATGGAAGCCCCAGGGGGTAGGGGTCTCCTTCTCATCCCTTCAGTGTCTACAGGTGCCTTTCATAGAAACTTTATGACCCCTCGTCCTTGACCCCATCGGCTCCACACCCAACCCATGGCTGCCCAAAGATGATGACAAACTCCCCAGTGCCTCTCCCAGAGGCCCCTGCAAACCTCCTCTCCTGGCCTGGATGTAAAGATCCCCTGCAGAGGGGGCCTTTCTAAGCTTGTCACAGGTGTGATGTTTCCTGAGGCTCTCAGCAGCAATTGCCAGGACGAAGCAGAAAGAACCTCAAAAGAATCTGCATTTATATCTCTACCCTATTATGTATCAGGTGTTCTGAGACAAGTTAGTTAACCTCTCTGAGCTTCAGACACCTCGCCTAGGAAGTGGTGACAATTGTCCTGCCTCATATGGCCTTTGTGGGTGTTAAATGAGATCACAGGTGCAAAACGCCTGGCAAATAACATTAGGTTGAATCACATGAAATGGCCACGATTCGACTTTTTGACCAAGACAACAGGGTTTCATATGACTCGGGCTAATAAAAATGGATAACCTTTGGGCTGCCCTGAATAAGAAATGACAAGAGAAAAGGCCCATAGATGAAGGAAGAATGGAGAGTCAAGATATCATTTTGCAGAAATTCCCTACAAAAAATTCCAAAACTTAGATGAATGTGATTTTCTAGAACAATGCAAATCACTAAAATTGATACATGCTAAATGCTTAATAAGTAGATGTAGTCTGGGCAACATGGCGAGATCCTGTCTCTACAAAAAATAATACAAAATCTACCTGGGTGTGCTGGAGCGCACGTGCAGTCCCAGCTACTCAGGAGGCTGAGGCGGGAGGACCACTTTAGCCCAGGAGGTTGAGGCTGCAGTGAGCTATGGTCACATCACTGCACTCCAGCCTGGGTGACAGTGAGATCCGGTCTTAAATAGGCCAGGTGCAGTGAGTGGCTCCTGCCTGTAATCCTAGCACTTTAGGAGGCCACAGTTGAGGATCGCTTGAGCCTGGGAGTTTGATGCCAGCCTGGGCAACATGACAAGATCCCATCTCTACCAAAAATACAAAAACTTAGCAAGGTGTGGTGGCATGTGCCTGGATTCCCAGCTACTCAGGAGGCTGAGGCAGGAGGATCACTTGAGTCCAAAAGGTGAAGACTGCAGTGAGCTGTGATCCTACCACTGCACTCCAGCCTGGGCAACAGAGTGAGACCCTATCTCAAAACGTACATACGTATATACATAAATGAATGAATGAATGAATGAATGTCAGTTCCCAGCCCTCTTCCACTCAAGATACTGCTCCTGATCCCTGTCCTGACCCGATTCCCTGCCTCTCCTGAGCTGTGAGTTGTCATCTTTCTTTGTCTATTTTGGCTTCTCTCCTGACCTCAGTGACCTCACCTCCTCTGCCCATAACACCCAGTCCTGTCTCTCATCCCACCTCCAGTGTCTGACTTGTCTTTGGATTCTCTCTCCTCTCTTTTCTCTCTCTCTCTCTCATGATTAACTTCTCCCCTCTGAAATCTTGGATAAAAAACTGTAACCTGGCCAGGTGTGGTGGCTCACGCCTATAATTCCAGCACTTTGGGAGGCCGAGGTGGCAGAGCACGAGGTCAGGAGTTAGAGACCAGCCTGACCAACATGGTGAATCCCTGTCTCTACTAAAAATACCAAAATTAGCCGGGTGTGGTGGTGCATGCCTGCAATCCCAGCTACTTAAGAGACTGAGGCAGGAGAATTGCTTGAACCTAGGAGGCAGAGGTTGCAGTAAACCGAGATCACACCATTGCACTCCAGCCTGGGTGACAGAGCAAGCCTGTCTCTCTGACACACGAAGAACTATCACCTAATCTCCCCAAAGCTCTGCCTCACCTGTGAAGGTGGCATTATAATTTATAGATTGGGAAGTGTCAGAAAACCCTCTGTTTATTTCCCCTAACCACACGTATTCCCAGCGCTCCCAGCCCTAATCCTCTAATCATAAACAGGAGACTGGAGACCACCTTGGGGCCAGGGTCCTCTACCAGGATGTTTATCTGTTGTCTTAATGTTTTCCTTTAAGATCAGAGTCTTGACCTGTTAACTCTCAGATAAATGACTGAACTGTCCAACTCAAGAGGTCAGAAGAGGAACACACACATACACAACATAGAACCAGGTCTTCTTTCACGAATTTGTGAATTCACAGAAATCAGTGAAATAAGAAACAAAAACAGTAAGAACAGAAAGAATAATATATCTATAAAACACAAAAGAAGAAAGAATAGGGGAGTTAGCATATACATTTAAAAATGGATTTTTCTTTTGGAAGTGGCAAATGCCTAATTATTTTATTTTTTTGAGATGGAGTTTCACTCTTGTCACCCAGGCTAGAGTGTGGTGGCGTGATCTCAGCTCACTGCAACCTCTGCTGCCTGGGTTCAAGTGACTCTCATGTCTCAGCTTCTCAAGTGACTGGGACTGCAGGGTGTGAGCCACCATGCCTGGCTAATTTTGTGTTTTTAGTAGAGACGGGGTTTCGCCATGTTGGCCAGGCTGGTCTCGAACTCCTGACTTCAAGTGATCCACCCACCTTGGCCTCCCAAAGTGCTGGGATTACAGGTGTGAGCCACCATGCTTGGCCTCAAACAATTAACTGGACTAGTGGGTAGCCAGACCAAAAAAATAGATTTTTAAAAATAATAACAATTTTAAAAAATAATAACAGTTTAATTTGCAAATCTCTACAAAGAAGTCTGTCAACCTGAACAACACTGATGATTTTTAAGGAAAATCTAAATTACCAGTGTAGGCCAATAATAGATTTTTTTTTTTTAAAGAGATGGAGTCTTGCTATATTGCTCAGGTCAGTCTTGAACTCCTGGGCTCAAGTGATCCTTCTACCTCAGCCTCCTCAAATTCTGGGATTACAGGTGTGAGTCACTGCATTCAGCTAGATTTTTTTAAATGTAGACCAAAAATGATGAGTGTTATTAAGAAATTCTTTCCCTTCCACCAAAAGAAAAGAAGCAAAACTCAGACGGTTTTACAAGTTAGTTCTGTCTAAATTTCAAGGAACAAAAAAATTCAGGTGTATTTAAACATTTACAGAGAACACAGAAACAGGAAATCTCCCTAATTATTTTCATGAAGCCAGCAGAATATAGCAAGACAAAAATCTGACCAGATCTCTTAATGTAATTCACCTCCTTCATAGCTGAAAGGATAAAAATAATTACTATAGATAATAAAAATGGTACTTTGTAGGGGCTGGGGGCAGCCTGTAATCCTAGCACTTTGAGAGGCCAAGGCTGGCAGAATTGCCTGAGTGCAGGAGTTCGAGGCCACCCTGGGCAACATGGTGAAACCCCATCTCTACTAAAAAATACAAAAAATTAGCCAGAAATGGTGGCAGGTGCCTGTAATCCCAGCTACTCAGGAGGCTGAGACAGGAGAATCGCTTGAACCTGGGAGTTGGAGGTTGCAGTAACCCAAGATTGAGCCACTGCACTCCAGCCTGGGTGACAGAGAGAGACACTGTCTTAAAAAAAATAAAAATAAAAAATGTTTTGTAGGGACCAAGTGTGGTGGTTCATGCCTGTAATCCCAGCATTTTGGGAGGACAAGGCAGGAGGATTGCTTGAGCCCAGGAGGTAGAGGCCAGCCTGGACAACATGGTAAGACCCTGTCCCTACAAAAAATTTCAAAACCAGCTGGGTGTGATGGCACACACCTGTCGTCTCAGCTACTGTGGAGGTTGAGGTGGGAGGATCACTTGAGCTGGGGAGGTGGAGGCTGCAGTGAGCCGTGATTGCACCAACTGCACTCCAGTCGGGTGATGAAGGGAGACCCTGTCTCAAAAAAATAAAACTGCTTTGTAGAGGCTGAGTGCGGTGGCTCAGGACTGTAATCCCAGCTTTTTGGGAGGCCAAGGTGGGTGGATCACCTGAGGTCAGGAGCTCGACCTGACCAACATGGACAAACCCCTGTCTCTACTAAAAATACAAAATTAGCTGGATGTGGTAACATGTCCCTGTAATCCCAGCTACTCGGGAGGCTGAGGCAAGAGAATCACTTGAACCCGAGAGGCGGAGGTTGCAGTGAGCCGAGATCAAGCCATTGCACTCCAGCCTGGGCAACAAGAGCGAAACTCTGTCTCTAAAAAAAAGGCTTTGTAGATAGCCATTGGTGGATGACTTCTTCCTACTAAATGAGAAGCACTGGTCCTTTTTCCCTGAGTCAGCGACAAGACAGGGACAATTCTATCCCTGCGTCTGCTGGGCCTCATTGCGGCTGTACCAGCCAATGAGTCAGTGGGAGAAAGAAACAGATATCAGACAGCACACCAATCCTATGGACACAGAAGAACACCCAAGAGAATCGCAGGAATATCCGTCATGGAAGGATGACCTGTTTCCAAGTGAAGATACCAAAAGTAATAACCTTCTCACAGACACTCGTCTGTTAGCAAATATAATTGCAGAAAACCTCCAATCTGGCCGGGTGCAGTGGCTCATGCCTGTAATCCCAGCACTTTGGGAGGCTCAGGCAGGTGGGTCTTTAGGTCAGGAGTTCGAGACCAGAGACTAGCCTGACCAACATGGTGAAATCCTGTCTCTACTAAAAATACAAATGTTAGCCGGGCTTGGTCGCCCACCTGTAATCCCAACTACTGAGGAGGCTGAGGCAGGAGAATCGCTTGAACCTGGGAGGCAGAGGTTGCATGAGCCGAGATCACGCCACTGCACTCCAGCCTGGGTGACAGAGTGAGACTCTGTCTCAAAAAAAAAAAAAAACCAAACGTCCAATCTGTAAGGAAAGCAACCAAAAAGATGTCAAATATCCTAGGACTAGGCCTGAGAGTCTTCACAGGACCTTCCGAGGAGAGAGGTGGACATGGACTCATAGAAGGCACAGCAGGTGACTGCAGGAGGAAGCCCTGATCTTGGACAGGGAAGGCTCCACCCCACGGTTCTCCCTAAAGAAGATCTCAGTGCTTCTCTGCCCGGTTTCTTTTCTCTCCCTGCCCTCCCTGTCACATTTTCTGCCCTCTCTATCCCACATCCCTTCCTTGTAGATGGCTGACCTCTGGTTCTCAGGCCCATGCTAGGGCCACCCCCAGCCAAGCCGTCCTCAGGACATCCCCCTGCTCAGACTCCAGCCTCTGGGCTGCCCTGGATTAAATCTCCATGTTCCTGAGACCAATGACCTGCTCCCTACCCACACCCTCCCATGCCCCCACCTTTCCTCCACACCCTGCATCTAGTGAGCCAGGCATTGCCCCCACCCTGCCCACATGCCCCTCGCAGCCAGTGGCTGCCACTCTCCACCCATGTGGACACATCCTGCCTCTCGTTCTCCTTCCTGTAAGAATTCAACTGAAAACCTACAAAGTCCCTTTTCTGCAGCCACCCCTTATCACTCACCCTGCTGTGGTTCAGCCAAGGTATGTGGGTGCAGAGCCGGGAGAGGCTGTCCTCTTCCTCTCCCAGGGGCGTGGTCCTTCATATAAGATGGACAAAGCACACCCCATTCTGCGTTCTGCTCGGAGTCCAGATTCAGGGTGTCTTGTGTGACACCTGCCCTGTGGTCCTGCCCCTCACACCCTCCCTCCCTCCCTGCTGCAGACTTTCCTGGGCAGAAAGCCCCTCACCTGGGACCCAGAGGAGCAGCAGAGTCCAAGGCAGCCACATGGCCCCTTCCCCAGCACAGGTGGCACTTGCAACAGCGCCTGGACCACAGCGCCTCAGGGAGGGTCTCCAAGCCTCCGACTTCTGCTTTTCTTGGTGCCGCGCTGCTTCCTTGTTCAGCTGCTTTTGGTTCTTTTCCTAGAGGCAGTCAGAAAATGGAGGAAGCTGGGGAGACCTGGCTGAGGCACCTCTGGGAACAGCATGACCTCCTTAACCCAGGTGGAGGCTGCAGGTTCCTCGGCTATTGTTAGTGATGAGACCTCTCCCGTGGTGACCCCGTAGCTGGCAGGCCTGCTCCCCGAATCTCACCTCCTGGGTCTGCGGGGTCCAAGTTTCCTTCTAGTGGAAGGCCCAGTAACTCCTCCCTCCTTTCCCTGTGGTTAAGATGGTCAACCTGGGGGAGGGGCCCGCTGAGCCGGCTCCTCTCACCCTGGGCGGTGCTCACGAGGAGGCTGCCCTTGGGAACTCCCCCTCCCTGAGTCCGTTCCCTGAGTTCCTGGGGGCCAGACCTGGGGATCCAGACTCAGGGAAGGGGATTTGTCACCGGCTTCAGAGTACCTGAATCGTTCCTAGTCTTAGAAATATGTCCTCAACTTGACAGGGAGGGCCTCCAGCCCTGCCTTCCTTTCTATATAGCCCCACTGGAACCAGCTCAGGGCTGGTCGCAGAGCAGGGGCTCAGCAAGCCTGCAGGGACCCTCTTCCTTCCTGACCCACACGCAGTTCAGACTCTAGACATACATGCACACTCACACATATGCACTCAAACACACGTACACACTCATATACACATTCACATACATTCATAGACACACATACAGAAACACATATTCATATATACAAACACACATTCATATATACTCATTCACAAACATACACACACAAACACATTTACATACACTCACGTACACATACACACAAACATTCACACACACTCATTCACACACCCACACACATTCACAAACTCACATTCACACACACATATATACCCTCAACACACACAAATGCACACTCACCCACACACAGTCATTCACACCCATACACTCAGCCACACACATTCACACAAATTCACACATACTGATACAGACATTCACACATACACATTCACACACACTGAAACACATTCACACACACAACTGACATACACATTCAGACACACGGACACATTCCCACACACACAAACTCACACACAGTCTCACACCTGCCTTGTGTAAGTGCCCCAGCTTGTACAGAATGACCAGGTGAGCACAGAAAACACCAGTCCTAATGTGAAATGCGTCACCTGGGAGCTTGCAGTCCCCAAGCTCAGAGTGTCCACCCACACGGAGCCCTGTGCCAACTCTGGGGTCCCAAGAATGCCCTTCCCTCTGGCTCCTTTTGGAATTTTTCCCTTTCCTCTTCCTTCTGGCCACAGGAGCACCTTGCCCAGGAAAGTGTGGGGATGTCACGGAGGCCTGTGGGCTCGGCTGCTGGAAGATCCCAGGACAGAGCCTGGAGGACACTGTGGGAATTTCTATTACCATGCAGCCAGAGACTAAAACTCCTCAAGATCCAAGACGCTGGCCGGGAGCGTGACCCACGCTGGAATCCCAGCACTTCGGGCGGTGGGCGGATCATCTGAGGTCAGGAGTTGGAGACCAGCCTGGCCAATATGGTGAAACCCAGTCTCTACTAAAAATACAAAAAAAAAATAGCCAGGCTTGGCTATTTTTGACAGGCACCTGTAGTCCTGGCTACTCAGGAGGCTGAGGCAGGAGAATTGCCTGAACCCAGGAGGGGGAGGTTGCGGTGAGCCGAGATCGCGCCATTACACTCCAGCCTGGGTAACAAGAGTGAAATTCCTTCTCAAAAAAAAAAAAAAAAAAAGGCACTGCTGCCGTCTTGAACGTCCAGACCAGAGAGAGAAGCGGAAGGCTACGTTCTGGCGTGGCTTGTCCACTTACCACCGGATGACCTTGAGCAAAGCCTATGGCTTCTGTGAAACATCAGTAATGACAGCTCCTCCGTGGGAATAAGTGGCATG